TGACATGCTCTCATTAGCTGGCAGAGTTCCTCCTTGTTTAACAGGAGATGCTTTCCTGTCCTCCTGACCCCAAAAGCCACCTTACTCTACAAATTTTGACTTCCCTAATTGCACCTTGACAGAAAGAGAGGCAAACCTCTCCTTTTCTCTCCAAGGGTTGTCATTTAATTAACAGGCAGGTATCTCTCAGGATTTACAGGCCAGCTCTAAGCTGCTACTCTCTCCTGTGAAGGCTCATTCCACTTATTTGTGCATTTCGATAACCGCGTTTTTGCTAATCTCTCGCTATGTGAGAGATTTACCTCTTGGATTTACCTCTCATGGACCATGGAGAGAGCCAGTTAATCAAATGAACAGTCCCCATCTCACTTCTCATTCCCTTCCTGGTTCCTGATCTCAGATGTCTGTGTTGTAGATGACTTCACAGCAGAGCAATTCCTATGCTCACACCATCACCAGTTTCTACTTTAATCCAACTCTCATATCTGTCCTACAGACATGACCAGAGATAGCACAGATGGAAGAGAGATCAGAATCAAAGACATTGAGGCTGGCTGGATATCAAGAAGCATTTAATTTGTTCCTTCTTCACAAACTGGGAACATCTCTCTGCAACCTGTTCTTGACATATGTTTTCTAACAGGTTCTTAAATAAAATCCAGTACTGGAGGTTCCCACAAATCCCAAGCAATCTTTTTCAGTGCTTCTTGCTCTCCTGTTAGATGTCTGAGAGCAAGGGGGAGAACAGTGTTTGAAGGCCATCTTGCCCAGATGGACATATCTTCTGGTGCTTGGGGCCATACCACCTGTCCCACTGATCATGAGGAGCAGGATAGTTTTACTTTGGTTGTTTTTTTTGTTTGTTTTCATCATGAGTGAAGAGATAGACAATGGTTCCTGACCTTTTCAACTATTTCTGTGGTGCATTCTAGATCTAGAAAAATAAAAAAACCCCTAGTATATTACTGAAGGTTAGTGACTGAAAGGTGCAAATCCAGGCCCCTGGATTTTTTTTCCATGGATCAATGGTCTCTGAGTAATCAGACATATTTTGAGAGTTCAGCTTGGGAGATGATCTGACCATTTCAGAACAAATGAGGATAACAACAACCAAATGATCTGTGCTGAGGGAGTTATATGTGCAAGGAAACACCCATGCCCTTATCTTTGACTCCACACTGGAAAGATCTGTGCTGCCATGGGATTGTCCATGCAAATTGCCACAGGTATCTCTATCTTGGCAAATTACTGCCTAAATCCCTTACTGATTTGGTAGAGAGGAGATCACACAAAACATCTGGGCAGTTGCTGACTGCCTGTTTGATTTTAGTCACACCTATGCAGAGTTGGTGACTCTCCAGCTTTGAGACTCCACAGAGGAGGTGTCCTGCTGAGCACCTCCAGGGACAGGGTGTGTAAACTGGCCTCTGGGACAAGAGTCCCTGGCTGCCTAATGGATGTGAGACACCCAAGTGTAACTGAAGTGCAAACTGCCAGGAACTACAGAGGAGTTCTATTTCAGCACATCTGCTCTTCATTAAGTACCTTGTCTTTCAACCTCTGCTCCTCTGCTAACAAATAAAAACTTGGGGCTCAAGCTGGAGGAAGAAACAACTGGAATTCATACAATTACTGCAGGACCTATGGTATCACATTCTGCTAGCTAAGGCTGCCCAGCCTGTTACAAAAAAATGTACAGGCAGCATTGTACCTTAGCTGAACTGAGTGCACCTAATGTCCTTTCCCCACGACTGAGCATTTCTTAGTTCCCAAAACTTTCCTACCCACCCACAGGCTAGGTAACAAAAGAGGAAAAGGGCTCTACTGCAGAGGAGGAGACACTGAATTGCACACAACACTCCAGTATTTCAAGATCTGTTGCCACTGTAATTATCCACGAGAAGTTTTATCCTAAACTGGCAGAAGTAGAACGAAACCTCAGGAAGAAATAACAAGAGAATTTGGGCCATGCTGGCAGTCAGGAGCAGAACTTTCAACTCCAGAGCTGCCTTTGAGCATTGGTCAAAAGACCCTGCATGAGATAGTAAGGTTTGGAAGAAGGATGAAGAAAGGAAGAAAAGCTGTTTCACAGTGAGGAACTCACTGCAAGCCTTCTAGGGAGACACTGCTGCATCCATCACAGCTGCACAAAGTTATAATGAATGAGGAATTCACCTCAGCTGCAATGTTCATAGAATGGGTTGGGTTGGAAGGGACCTTAAAGATCATCTTGTTCCAATCTGTCTTGGGCAGGGACACCTCCCCCTACTCCATGTTGCTCAGAGCCCTGTACAGTGTGGCCTTGAACACTTGCAGGGATTGGGCACCCACAACTTCTCTGGGCAACCTGCTCCAGTGCATCACCACCCTCACAGTAAAGTACTTCTTGCTAATATCTAACCCTACTCTCAAATTAAAGCCATAATCCATGTTCCATCACTACATGCTCTTGCCCTAAGTCCCTCTCCAGCTCTCTTGTAGGCCCCTTGACGTACTGAAAAGCTGTATCCCCAGAGCCTTCTCTTCCCCAGGCAGAACAACCCCAACACTCAGCTTGTGTTCATAGGAAAGAATTCCCTGGGGTCAGTCCCTTCCCCTGGCCTGACCTGGCCTTGATTCTCAGTGGGACAGACCAGCCTTTTGGCTAGTGCTAATGCACCCCTTGAAACCTGCAGGGCTGAGGAAAAGTCACTCAGAAAAGAAAGATGACCACATCATCAGCCAGGGCAGTCACAGCTCCTTCTGAAGATCTCATTTGTCACTGAGTTTGAACTGGGTAGAAGAGGAAGAGGAGGGGAGGAGAGTGAACACAAACTCAGCTAGTACTGCTCAGAGCTCATTTCCTCTCCACTGCTGAGCTGGCAGCAGCAGCAGCAACAGCTGGGATTTCAAAGAGCAAAAATGCACTATACAATCAAGTTTTACACTGCAGGGTGGCAGGGGCAGAGGCCTGGCAGCATCACATATGAGCTTTTCTACAGGGATGGAGACAGCTCACGTGCTCCAGAACATCCCCTCTCCTGGATGAACATGGGTGGGCTGCCTGGCAGCACGGGCAGGCGTGCTGCACACAGCCCAAGTGGAGCCAGCTCTGGGTAGCTGCTGAGGGCTGGGCAAGAGAACCCACGTACAGACATGTTAACTCACTGCATCTGTAATGCTTCCCACTGGCTTCTGAGTTTGTGGGAAAGCCAGCATGCCTGGCACCCAAGGACTGCCAGCTGTGCAGGGAGGAACATGAGACAAGGGGATGGCCCAAGTCACGACTCTGAAATGTTCCTGGGAATGGGATGTCTGCTTGTTCTTCTTTGGCTGGAAAAAAAAAATCAAAGCTCCCAGTTTAGGGCATTATGCTTAAGGTGACATCAGCGGAGAGGCAAATACATTTATTTTTCCCTCAGAGAAGGTGGAAAAGAGAAATAGATACCAAATCCTTAGAAAAATTAACAAAAACAAACAAGCAAATGAACCTAAAATCTGATCTGTCTGCCCAGTTCCCCTTCAGTTTAAGGCTGGCATGGTTTGTTCTCTGCTATGTGGGATGATTTACCTCCTATTATCAGATGAGCTAGTCAGTCCCCCTCAGCTCTTGAAGCTATATCAAAGCCAGTTAATCATGTTACTGGTGTCTGCCCAGCTCAGAACTCTCCACTTCTGTCCCCTGCCAACAAGGTGACACGTGCACAGCACACATGCACAGGGAAAATTTTTTCCACTTTCAATTCCATCAGCAAGAGGACATCGCCTATTGTGCCTACTGTGCCAACATATGGGTGCTGCTCATCTCTCTTTAACCCCCTTTGGCACATTTTGCTCATGGAGAAATGTGGTAGAAGGAGCAGGATGATCTCTACAGGCCAAGCTCACATCTCATTGCTAGCACAGTGGTGGCAACAGTGGGAGGAACTGGTCTTGGCAGGCCCAAGTCCTGTGCTGGAAGGCTGCTGAGGCCAAGAGCCACTTGAACCTGGATACCAGAGTGCAGTCAAGAATTCTGTGCCTGCCACAGGGTCTGTTTTACTCTGCACCCAAATTCCACCAGTTGCTGCTCTGTCCTGCTTCTCCTGAGGGCTGGAATGGAGACTGTTCTTCCCTCTGGAAGGGCCGTAACCACACATGCACATATCCACCAAGTCAAGATGACTGCCTTTTCCCACTGAATTTGGGAAGGCTTCTTCTAACTTCATAACAGTGATGTCAGGACCCAGACACAAAGAGCTCTCTGGTTCCCTTTTTTGCTTCCTGTCAGAGTCACTTGAACTGACAAGCTATCTTGTGGCCTGTGCTTGGTTGGACTCAGGGGCACATTTGAAGGTGGCCAGTGCTCACTAGAATGTTTCAGGAGCTGCTGCAGGTATTGGCAGCAATGTCCCTCCATCCCGCAGACCTGCACTGGTCCCAGGGAGACTCTCCTGGGGCCAGGCTCACAGCAGCTGCTCTGCCCTCTAGGCTTGTGCAGTGTGAGGCAGTTGCATCCTCTAAGAGCTGCTCTCTAACAACAATCTGACAAGGACCCCAGGCTGGCCTGTGACCTCGTTTGGACTTGCAGCTCCAAGGTGGCCCAAAGAAGGGGAAACCACTCTTGCCTGGCAGAGAGACTGGGCTGGAGAGCCAAGGAGCTGTGTGTGGAGAGACCCTGCCATGCCTGCTGTGGGGCAGTCCCTAAATTAGCTATTCCAGGAGGAAAGGAGTTTCTCTAAAACCTTAGACTCCCCAGCCTCCCCAGACCTCCCTACCCACTTCTTTCTCTGAAGAAACATCTGTTTCTCTCTGGCATTTTTGCAGGTCCCTCTGCCACCCTGCCAAGGAAACACTCTGGGGCCACCCAGATGAGCTGAGAGAACAGTAAAAAATGGGCCATAAAAGCAAAGAGGAGGAAAAGCTGTGGGCACTCAATCCAAGCCAACCTCTATGGGCTGGCTCTCCATGCCATGTCCCGCTCCTCTCCACAGGTGAGTGAGCGGGCGGCCGTGGCCGCGGTGTGAGATACGATCACCCACCTATACAGACAATGTCCATGAAGCCATACATTCCATAGCAGATCTGGAAGAGCAGGTCCTGGCGCTGCCACTTGGCTGACGGACTGAAGGTCGACCAGATGAGCCACGAGATACTGGCGATGAGGAAGAGGGAACCCAGGATGGCTGCTGCTATCTGAACCTTCTCAATGACTGTCAGAGAGATGGCCTGCCACTGTACAGGGAGGGGACAAGAGGGAGGGAGGAAGGACAAAAGAGAAGACATTAGTTACTTGGAGTACATCACTGCTTTACACCATTGTGGTGGCTTTGGAGATCTCAAAGAGCACCTATGGGCATAGGTGCTTTTGCCCCATCCAGATCTGGGATGGAGCGTGGCAGTTGTTCAATAGTGCATGGTCTTGGGTTTCTTGGCAGCACTGCTGAAGAGGCGGTGGAGAGGAATCCTGCATTGCACCAGGAAAGCACAGTGACCTGAGTGAGGCAGGATGGATGAAGGCAAGACACCAAAAATAACACGCTCATGACAGTAGATCTGTGATGGCCATCACCAACCATAAAGTTCAGTTGCTCCCTCAAATAGAGGCCAGGCAACATCTTCATCCAGGACATCCCAGTACCAAAAGAGTAAATATCTCAAAGAACCAAGCTGTCTTTTGAAGGCTTCATATGAGCTGGCTCTGTGCCACTTTGTGAGATCTGACATGATCACAGCCCTAGGTAGAAGCTCACAGTGGCAATGCACATCCCACAGAACGTGCTACAAACAACACAAGTTGTTGTGGTTAGGACACTCTGCCTTTAAATGATGACATGTTCAGGCTGTGTTCCAAAGTAAACGTCAATGCTTCTTCCTCAGAAAAAGAAAAAAATAGAAATAACTCCTCCAAATCCATTCACTTTGTCAAATAGCTTTGTAAAAGCTACGTTATAAATATCCTAAACCCAGACTCCTCTCTGTCATCCAGCATAAAACCTCCCCACTCAGATTTACACTGCTGAGAAAACTGTCCTATAAAACCAAGAGCAGAAATTGGAGTCTTTAACAAGACTTGGAGACATGGTCCATAGCATCTTCTGCAAATCAAAAATTAAATCTGTAAACAGGCTGAGAAGAGACAGTTTTTCCTGGCATCAAAGTATATAGGCCACCTCTAGCTGTGAGATACATGCCCTTGAAATCACAGTGGGACTGGCAGGAGGATAAACAAAGATGGACTTCAACCTCCTCCAGGTACAGAGGATTCAGAAGAGTTGAAAATCTTTAGCCTAGATTCAGTCCAAATTCAGTTTCCCTGTGAAGTGACAGTCTTGTGAGATCTCAGTGCCCTGCATGTTGGTCAAACATATCCTAGGACAGCAGGATCACCCAGCAAGCCTTGTCCCATTTTTCTGCAGTGCAAGAAGGGAGTTCAAGTACTGGATACCTCTTTAATGCTCAGGCCAGCCAGGAGTTAGTAATGTTTTTTGCAAGGATTTTTGAACCCTGACTGAAGGGCAAGAAGGACAAGAAGTGACTTGTGCTTGTACAGGCATGCATGGCACCACTACCAGTCCAATGACCAAACCCCTGAACTGAATGTACTTCCCTGAAAAGGGCTGCACTTGGAGAGGGACAAACGAGAGCTTCAGCTGGAGGCTGAGGTCTGTGGGTGGCAACTGGAGATGATTTCTCTGCCTCTGCCAGCCTTGCTCCTTGGCTTGCATCCTGCAAGGGCAGACAGCCCTCAAATTGTCTACCATGGATGTGCAGCACCAGCGAGGTGGGCAGTACCAGCTTTTTTGGTAGTTGGCCACAGAAATGGCCACAGAGCTGCTGAGCAGAGAGAGAGAGCTTGTTCCCCACTGACTGAGCTGCTCCCTACTGAAGCAGGACTGGGCTTAGCTAAACCCAGTCTCTTCCCTGGGCCCAGCTACTCCAGCAACTGACCCAGCCAAAGGCAAACACAGCACTAGGGACACTCAGGAATCTTTTCAACAGCCCATTCCCACTCTGCCACAGCCTAGCCTGCTCCATGCCACCACCCTTTGTACCACTGAGAAGATCACACAGTGAGCAGCCTGGAAGTCCCAATGCTGCAGGGGTGCTGGAGTCCACAGGAGAGGTGCAATGGTGCAACTCCTCTCTTTGCATCAGGCTGAGCAAAGGACACCCAGCACCCATCACGTATCTGGCTTCTGAGGGTGGGATAAGCAGCTCTGCCATGCTCCCATCAGCTCCTCAGCTTTGTTCTCAACAGCACCATAAGCCAATGAAGGACAAATCTGCAAGCAATGCTGTTAGCCCAGAGCTCCAGGACTAAATCCATGTGGTGGGCAGGGCAGGGATCTTGGCTATGTGCGTGGGGTTGCAGTTTTACCCCTGCAACTTTCCCCAGACCTCATGTCCCCTTCCACGGCCTGTGGCTCAGAGGGAATGAGAGTGCAGAGAGCACAGCCTGGTGCTGCGTGCGAAGGTTTTACTGCAGGCCCCTCACACTGACCTGCGTGCACCAGCCTGTGCCAGCCAAATCATTCTGCATCATTTCTCTCTCTTGAGGAGGTAATGGACTGGCTCCTCACCATCTGCCTGGCAAACTGTAAGGCCTCTGGTAGCAACAGGTCCTTCCAAGGTAGCAATGAGAGGCAGAGGGAAGAGAAGAAGGAGGTTTTTTCTACAACTAGAAGCCATGTACAACCAACACCATGGCTTTGCAGAGAAAGGGAGGCTAAAGTGTAGCACTAAACACACTGTCAAAGGGGATGGGGCTCAGAGAACAGAAGAGTTACACATGAGTGCAAAACCTCAAGCCCTGCTCCCCTTGGCTGGGAACAGGGAGGCTGAAACACTGGCAAGGACAGTGCCTGGCACTGCTCAGCTGGCAGTGGCTGCTGGGAAGTTCACTGTGGTGATAATGAAGAGCCTGGAGTCTGACAGCTGTGCCAGGGGGTAGGAGGTTCTCCCCCTGCATCTGGCACTAAGTGACAATGACACACACAGCAGCAGTCCTGACTCTATTCAGAAGGTGGCACTGGGGTGTGATTACCCTCTGGCAAGGAGGTAAATGGGTCAAAGCTGAACATTGGGGAAAACAGCCAGCATGCAGAAGAATTTAATATTTTCCAGTAGAAAAAAAAAAAAAAAAAAGAAGTAATAAATGTTGTATTTTCTCTCTGGCAACACTGAGAACTGCAATTTAGTGTCCCAGATCTAGCTTGAGCCACTAATAACTAGAGTCATTATTTTTCATCTTTTAATTCCATCTCAGCATATGAGATATAAGATCTTAGCATGAGACAGAAGATAGAGCCTGATACCCCCATGAGTGCTCAGACAGAAAGGTCCAAGAACTGTTCAGAAGTGGAACATGCTGATGAATTTCAGCTGCAGGAGCTGGGCTTGCTGTGTCCCTGCACTGGTAGCCTTAGGAGCTCACCTCAATCACAGCACCATGTCTTTCAGATTTCTTAACAGCCCTTAGAGAATCACCCCTTTTCCCAAGCCCTCTCCACCCTCATTATGGCCAGCAGACCAAGGACTGGGCAGGTGACCCTATCATCCTTGGGTCACCACTAGAGCTGCTCAGCAACTCTGGAGTCCTGCTACTGGCATATCTGAAACCCCCACAGCTCTTTGTCTGAATACTTGGCAGCAGTCATAGCTCACTCCCTCCAAATCTCCAGCTCAAATGTTCAAGATCTAGCAAGATCACAGTGTCAAGCAATCCTACCTTGTGGGGAGAGACCTAAAGCTGAGTCCTTCTCCCCTCAGCTGATAATGACTCGAGCTCCTGACAGCCACTGAGCTGCACTGAAGTGCCCCTTTAACAACGCAGCTCACCCAGGCTGTCAGTCAGGGACATGACCTTTAGGCAGGTAGAAAGTTCTACAGATGCTCTGCCAATGCTGAACAGGTCAGAACTAAGGACTTGGTGGTACCAAAAGGCTTTAAAGGCTCCTACAGGATAACAGGATCACCTTTGTGAACTCCAGACTCACAATGGCTTCAGAACATGCCCGAGCAGTTCTCTGTGATGGTCTGCCACCTGTACTGGAAAAGTGCTCCAACCCTCCAAACCATTCTGGAGAAGCTGTCTGGAGCTGTCTGTCTGTCCTCTGCTACCGCCCCGCTGGGCCAAGTGTTTTGGCACACCACCCATGTCTGCAGGTACAAAACAGCACTCTGTCTCAGACCTGTTTCCCCCTGTTTCCCCATTTTGTTTAAATCACAAAGCTCTGCAACCCAGATGCCTCAGAAAGGGCTTCTTAGGAGCTCAGGTCTGACATTTGTGATTGCTTTAGTCAGGGTCCAAGCTGGTACTGGTGCCTTTGAGTCATGTCACTTGTTCTCCTGCACTGTTTCACAACCTGCAAGTTGTACTTGACACAAAACTGTTTCCCTGCTTGCTCCAGTGCTTCTGCTTAGAGGTTTGTAAGAGAAAATCTGCTAATGTAACACAGATGAATAATGTCATTACTATAGTATTTAATACCTGATCTGTATTTCCCTTTCTTTGGCACTTGCATTCTACAAAGTTTCCCAAGCACCAGCACAAACATATCCAAGGCAGATACTGCCTGAAGAATGTGTCTGTGTCTTACTGCAGCAGCTTGCAAAGAAGTCTCGTTTGCTGGAGAAGCCTTCCTGCACTCCCCTGAGATCTCCTCCATGCCTGCCTCAGGCAGTTCAGTTTATTTTTATTGCTGTATCTGACACGTCCCCTTAATACACATCATTAATATCCTGAGCTGTGCTAGTAAGCAATTTAATTCTCAGACCCAGGGTCACAAGCAAGAGGAGGTTTTTCCTAGAAGGTTGGAGAGGATCATTTGCAGCTTAGGTGTGGTTCTCCCCTTGCTGCTGTCCCAAGACCCTGGCCATCAATTATCTTCTGGAGGATGGCTTTTTTTACATAAATCTGCCAAGCAAAATTAAGCCACTGCTGTGACATGGCTTTCCTGCTGCACACTTACAGATGCTGTGGTTTATTCAGATACTAGAAAAGCAGGAGGGAGGGCCCAGTAGGGCCATGTAATGGAAAGGTGCAATGATGAAAATGCCCCTCCTCCATGTGCCACAGCATCTGTTAAAACTCAGGCTACAGCATCAGCATCCTGGAGAATTCCTGTTATAACACACAGGCCCTGAAATCTCTCTTGCAGTGACTGCACCCATTGCTTGCAGGCTGCAGCTGGAGCTCAGCAGGGACCAGCAAAGCTCATGCTCAACACAACTGATTCAGCAGACTGGGACAACCAGGAGACATCAGTAAACTTGCCTCAAGCTTTTTAGCTCAGGATCTCAGGCTGAAATTCAAACACCCTGTGAGATCAGCTGTTCTTGCAGTTGTGGGTGTCATGATGAAGAGGCCATGTAAGAGCACTCATCAGCTCCTAACAGATCATCACCATGGACAAAATGGAGCCAGAGGAGAACAGAGACCAGATCCCAACCCCAGCACTGAATAACTGGGGATCTTTGGAGCTGAAACAGCCTGCAATGCAGGAAGAGTTGGAGATAACAACTGTAAATCAGAGCTGAACTCATCAAGACTGCAGATAGTTGTTGGGAAGGTTGGTTCAAACAGATTTTCTCTTTGCTAAAATCAGAGCATCAGAGTGGATGTGGTTCAGGACTGACAACAAAGGAAGTGTATAGATTAAATACACTTCAGAGGCCCATCAAGGCAGATACCTACTCCACTATGTATCAGCACCAGGGTGCAGGCAGTACTGTCACATGCTTCTAACCCCTTGTGCCTTCAGGGGGTTAGAAATCATGGGCTTTACACAAGTATTACAAATGAGGGAAGCATTTAAAGCCTCCAAGCCCATGACTCCTGTCTCGGTGACTGGCAAACTGGAGAGCAGGAGAATGGATTGGTGGATGGATGGATGGAGGGGTGGATGGATGGATGGATGGATGGATGGATGGATGGATGGATGGATGGATGGATGGATGGACAAAAGCTCTGGATTTCCTGGTTGTTCACAGCTGATGGAACATTTTTGCTCAGTTGCTGGCCAACTGCTGCTTGGCAGGACACCTGCTATGTTGTCCAACAACTTTAATCCCCCAATCACAGCAGGTTAGCAATATTGCTGCTTTAAGGCCTTTCCTCTTAAATGCCTGCAATCCAGGGAGCAGGGAGTGGGGTGGGTTAATTTATAGAGATTAATTCTGCCAAAACAGAAGACTAAAGGTCTCTCTCTGGTATGAAACACTGCAATAGCCTGGAGGCTGGAAGGAGCCTGTGTTAATTATGCATGAACCCGTCCGCAACTTCTCTGCCCACACCATGAGTCTCCAGACACATCTGGCCCATGTTGTGCTTCTAAGCACTCCAAAAAATGTGCAGCAGATGTCAAAATGGGCAGACAAACATGCAGGTCCCAGGGAACATGTGGGTGTTGGATGTACTGCTCTGCTCAGACCAATTGGACATGCTTCAGGGAGCCCAGGGTCTGCCAGCAGCCTGGATTTGGTTTCCCAGCAGTCTATCAGATACAGGACACAGGAGAGAGGTAGGACATGTTGCTGGTTAGAATCTAGCCAGGCTCAGAGCATCACCCAAATAGGTTATATTGGACAAGGACATGAAGCTTGTATGATCCTTGCCTGTATTATGGTTGGTCTGGAAAAAACAGATGACGACTGCATGACCACTGCATGACTATGGCATTTGCCCTCTGAAAACTGGGCTTGAGAAATTCAGAGATTTCTTGTAAGGATAAAGCTGAGCCCAAGTTCCAGCAGACCCTGAGAAGAAAGGTCAGGAAATTTGATATACACTTGTATGTCCAGCTGGCCCATATTATCCACATGTGGGGTGCAGACCAAGCAGAAAGGATGCTCCTCCCACCTGTACATGCTGTGACTTTTTATGGGATACAGTGTTGGGGCATCATAACTCCTGTATCTTCTCTGCCCCCTTTTCTCAGCATCTTACCAGATGGTGAGAGCCACTGAGAAATGAGGCATTCATAGTAATGGGTTACAGGGGTTCTAAGCCCTTAGTACTGGTAGGAAGTCCTGGCCTGGTGCATCAGCCACATCCCACAGGATTTTGCATATTAATGCCAGTGTAGCATCTGCTTCCCAGCAGTGCCTTTGTGCTGGCACCAGACAGGGCACCCGGGCATGCAGCTGTAGCTCTACACACTGCATTTATTCCAGGCCAAGTGGCTTTTCACTCCAGTTACTTCTTCCCATCCTCCAGATTTCCCAGCGCTTTGTGAGAAGTGCTGTGAAGTCTAAGCCAGTGAAGGCTCCAAGCCCCAGATCTGCACAGTCCTCTGGGACCCTTGCTCCTGGAGCTGAGCTCTCTAACTCAGCTGTTTCTGCCACTCAGTTTTTGTGTTCATGGCAAAGACCATCAGATCAGGCCACTTTTTGACACAGGAGCCCAGAGAGAGAGAAGCTTTGCACAGGCTCTGAAATTTGTGTGTGTGAGGTGGGAGCTGGTCCATGAGCAGCTCCAACAAATTTTAGCTGAGTGATGAACACGAAGCAAGTCATTGACTCATTGCCCTGAGCCACCTGAAAGTGTAGAGCATTTGGAAGTTATTCACTAAAGGCAGTTCTGACACAAAGGCTCCCAATTTTTTACTCACAAACCTTCAGTGCTGCTCAGCATTGCATGCCTGATCTGAGACACAGGAAGCATTAGGGCACTCATGGAGCAGCTTTCCAGAAATAAACAAAAGCTGCTTTGTCCACATCTCCCCTCCTGTGTTTCAATCTGCTCTGAGTTGCTAGAGCCAAGAAATTAAAACATTCTGGGTCTGAGGCTTGGGATGAAACTACTGATGTGACCAGCCCATGGCTCATGGGAGATTGAATCAGAAGCTGTAGGAACTCTCAGAGAGCAGGCAGGTTTTTCCTTCTCCTCAGCAAAGTTTCCCCATGATGTCCCCCCAGTTTCACTACTTAATTTAAGTCTGGAGTCCTAATAGGTTGTCCCTTTTTCCTCACTGTGGTAAGTGCCCTGAGGCCTAGAAGAAACCACACAGAGATCACAGAGAAGGAGAAAGGAGAGAACAGGAGTTTTCATTCCCCCACTCCCCTGTACAACTAGCACCACCATCACCAGTACTGTCCTTGCCTCCTGGTAGAGAGTGACCCACAGAGGGCCAGGCACTGGACAGACCAAAATCCTGACGGACATGACCCTGGTCTCTAAACCACTGTAATGCCTCTCCAGTCCAGATGATGCTGATTAAGAAGTGCCTGGATGTAATGTGCTTCCTTACAGCTGAGGCACTAAAATACTCAGCAAAGGCATGCAGCAATTAATTAATGCATCTTCAGGCATTGCCCCTGCAATAAATCAATAGCTATTAAGGATAATTTATCCCATTTTTAATAGTCACACATTTCCTCATTCTGAATCCTGATTTTAAATCACCAGTCTGTACTGTGACTTACTCAACTACAATGCTTTTCAGATAAGAAAGAATGTGGGTCCTTGGATGACTTTCACACACACGTCAAGATGTGCTTTACCTGTTGTGTGCACGTCTGCAAAAGCCCATCAAGAATCAGGCTTGAAGAGACCAGAGTATCAGAGTCAACACTTCCTGTGCCATGCCATGATTGTGTGAGAGTAGTAAAGTGAAAAAGGGAGTGAGATCAGAGAGGAGAGCTCTAAGAACCCTCCATCTGCCTCCACCATCCCTCACGCCAACACAGCAGAGGCTCAGCAGGAGGAGATCAGGATTAATGGCACAGCTATAAACACATGGAGTCTCGACTGCTCAGTCACAGACTGTGTGCTCTGCTGCAGTAAATCCCACAATGGTGCAGTGCTTGCCTGGCCCTGGAGACAGGCACACCTGGGCTCTCCAGTGGATGAACACATTTGAATGGCTGTGAGATGTTATAGCACTATTGTGGAATCTTCAACAGGAGGCAAGTGAATATAGGAATTGCTAAGGACAGAAGGAGCAGACTCCTGAGGGATGCTCCCAGAACCACTGAGCAGAACACGAGGCCTCTTTGGACCAGCCCCTGGCAATCCTTTCTAAGTGTCTCAGACATACGAATCCCTGTGCACAGGGAAGGAACACACACAGGGGCAAAATCCACTTGCTCCCAGAAACAAAAATTGAAACAAGAATAAATAGACTTTGAAATGTCTCTAGTACCTTTACCTGCAGAGGGTTCTTTGTGCTTATGGCAATGACGTGATACTTGTAGTAACACAGCTCACAGCTCCAGCAGCCTCTCTCGCTAATCCATTTGATCAGACATGGCTGGTGCGTGCACTTCACAGATCCATCGCATCGACACGGGCTCAGCAACTCCCCCTGAAAGAGACAGACAGCGTCAGCCAGGCTTCCCTCCTTCCACAGCATGGCAAACGTGGCACAGCATGGCAGAAGCTCCCTTATCCACCATTTGAACTTTCTTCCTTTTTTACCTGGTTTGGCTTAGGTAATCATGCTGCTTCCATCCCTTTTCCCTCTAATAATGCTTGATACGAACTGAGACTGTCAGAGATGTAATGGTCTCAAATACTGGGGTCTTACATGCCTTGTCACCACTGAAGGAAAAGCTAGATGAGCACAACTCTTACCACTCCAGAGGACTCACACTGACCCCAACTAGTGGACATACCTCTGTTGGCAACCAGATGCCACTGGTTCATTGCTCAGGGTTTTGTCTCTCTGCTACCTATTTTAGAAACTGAGGTTGGTGGTGGTGATAAGCTGTGAAACAGCCTCTGCTGCAGACTGATGTCTTGCTCAGCCCAGGCACACAAAACATCCTCAAATTTCTCTCCCACACCGTCCACCATCCCAGACAGTCATATTGATGAACTACAGGGCTGGCTATTTGCATCCTAGAAGCAAGCAAGATGGAGAACAAATTGTGTTCTGGCTTGTAACCCAGAGAGTTATGAGTGGTGGCAGAAACACTGAACCTCCTGGCTAGTTCCTTTGTTTCTGGTGCAGTTTTAAACACGGTATCCACAAAACCCCCATATTATTCTGATCTATCTGCTATCATCCTGTTCACCATGAGACTAAACTCCTCTGTGCACACAAGCTCAGGAGCCTTTTACAGTTGTTTAGGTTAGGAGAGAGCCATTACATTTTACTCCTCACTGTTTAGTGTTTAAAAGCCATAGCATAGATTCCAGTAGTCTCTTTAGCTGTGCTCCAAGATTAAAAAGATTTTAAAGGCAGAATATCTATGGGACAGGGAAGGTTGGATCATCCTTTCAGCATCAGGGAGAAGATATTTGCTCTCACAGCCCAGATCAGCCTTATCACTAGCCTGATGGAGCACCAGGATAACAGACCCTGGCACTGGACACTGCTGGATATGGTAAAAGACATCCATTCCAACTGCCTCAGGTTATGAGCCTGCTCTTGCTAACCCTGGTGGGAAAGTCCCAGCTTCTAGGTGACTACATCAGGTCTCAGGACCTGAGGAACTGAGGACCACATTGGGCAAGAGTGATACTTCTTTTTACAAAACCTAATGTAAACATGTTAATAGTTTAATTTGTTTCAGCTAGGTCACCTAAAAATGTCATATTTCATGAAGTTTTAGCAAAACAGTAAATAACTGTTTATATTACAAACACAGCCTCGGCTCTGCTTGTTACTGGTTTTCATTACATATTGGAGGGGACACAAAGGGAGAGGGGGAACAAGGAGAGTTGTAGGGTCCATGAACCTTTTTCACCTGGCAAGGAGTGACGTGACAAACCAGAAGAAGGGAAGTAGGGATGGATTAGATGAGAGAAGGTGCTCATGGGAATGAGCATTGACATTTGGAACTCGACCTCCCCACATGGGGTCCAATTTGAGGAGCTCAGGTTTGGCTGTGCATGTCTCTGCCCTTATATGAGACTGGGGTGGGACATTGCCAGTGTGATTAGGGGTAGGACATTGCCAGTGTGATTAGGAGCCCAGAAGAGCAGGTACTGCCAGGCAGGTTGCAAAAGAGGAAGGACCAGAACTTGGCACAACTGCTTTGCTTACTCACTCACCAAACCTCTTCCACACCAAGAGCCAGCCTGGTACAAGGACCACTGCTCTGTGCCTCTGGTCTGCCCTTCTCATCTCAGTCCCTTATTTTGTCAACAGTTTTGCTCCTCAGCACACATGTGCGGCCCCAGCAGTAAGGAGGTCATACAGAATCCTCCCAGATCTGCAGCATCCCTGCCTTTCCACCTCACTGCACACCAGGGTCTCTTGCAGTGCTCAAAATAGTGAGTGCGGGACCTGGGCTTTGTCTAACGAGCAGCTGGAGGCATCAATGATGAGGGATCAGGAACGGAGCAGAATGGAGCAGGAACTAAGAGCAACAACCTCCAGGCAAAGGCAGAGGGGAAAAGCTGAAGCTACAGCCTGGACTCATGTTGGCTTCTGGGGCATTGTACTAAATGAGTCTATGAAATCTGAGCTTCTCTCTCAGAGCCAAGAGATGTTCACAGATGTCCTACAGCACCACGGGGACCCAGTCTCCCTCCCTATGATGCTCAAACACACAGTCCTGCCAGCTCCTACAACCTCAGTATTCAACTGTGGAGATGAATCCCCCAGTAACTTGATTTTAGCAAATCTAGCAAAAACTTAATTTATCACATTTTCTCCAGCCATCTGAAATATTACATCCTTGTACGTGGCACACAGCTGTTTTTGCATACTGTGAAGCCCAATTCTATCCACAGCAGGCATTTGTAAAACACTGCCACATGCACACATGTGCACATGCACTCCTGTACCAGCAGAAAAACAGACACTGGGGCATATTGAAGGAATAAATCCTTTGTACAGCAAAGGAGAAGGAGTCTCATTGCTAGCTGTACAGAGAGCTCAGGAACAGACCATTCATTGGCTGTGATACACAGGAAGGTTTTGCTGTACAGAGTCCTCTGCTGTTAAAAGTGACAGGAACACAAAAGCAAACCCAAAGGGAGACACAAATCACAACAATTAGAGATGGAAATTAAATCCCTAACACCCATTTTTTCAGGTTTGTAGAAGATGGGTCTGCACAACATATTCCCCAGTGCTGAAATAGCAAATCCCTTTGGGGACTGCTCTCCAAAAACCCTTGGGAAGGTCTATTTTCTGACTTCACAACATTTATTTTTGCAACTTCCCATTGTACAGTTATATCCCATCACTGGGATGAGTCTAAGCAACATTTTCCCTTTGTCAGTAACTAGTGGAGAAATGCTCCCCAACTGCAAGCTTCGTCCTTTCCTCCTCAGTTTGCTCACTACCATCTTGTTTCCCTGAAACACTGAAGAGTGCTTTGGAGTCAGGGTACCTGCTTTTTTTTTTTTTTTTTTTTTTTTTTTTTTTTTTTTTTTTTTTTTTTTTTTTTTTTTTTTTTTTTTTTTTTTTCCTCTATTATCCAAGTCTAAATTAGAAAAAAACAGAGTTAACAAAAAGGGAAAGGCGCTCTGGCTCAGCCAGAATCATTTCGACATATGCATTAAATGCTCTTCCCTACTTCTGGAAAGAGTAATATACTCATAAATTATATACATAATATTCTTCTCTATTTCTCATTATGATGGGAGCTTGCCTCAAGGAGCAGCAAGGCCAAGGCCAGGCTGAACTGGCTTTACCCTGAGGAGGACAATACTCCTGGAGATGCAATAGCGCAGCTCTGCTCCGGCTCTGTCCTTTCTGTCTGAATTCCCAATCTGTACCCGCTGCAATATGTCAAAGTGGTTAATGATTATCTGGCCCCTGCTATTTAAAGCCTACTGGCAGGAGTGCTGAGAAAGGATGGGGCAAAAAATTATTGCTGGTGCGTGCTTGTGGTGCTCAGTATATCCAGGGAGAAAATAACCACGTCAGGAGCAGCATCACCCCTGTTGAGCGCTGGTGGCAGAGTTTTGCCTGGCTTTTATTTGTCATTTATCAGTGCTGGGAGCCCATCCGCACATCCACAGCTGCAGCTGCTCCCCCACCAGCCACAGATATGGGATTGTTTCCCTGGCCTGTTCTTTTCACTGCAAATTAGGTACAGCAAATTTGCCCACCCAGTCTCCTTTAAACAGGGCAGGGCTGGGGATGACAGTGGCACTGGGCTAGGATGGGTATGGTCTCCTGGGCTGGCCCAGCTGTGCAGACCTATGTCTGGTGCCTGGGCTGCTCCTGAGCACCAGCTCAGCTGGAAAGAGCCATGTTACCAACATCCTACTGCCACAACCATTACAGCACACATTTTGAAAGCCAGTGCAAGCTGTGCAGAAAGCCAATATAGCTGATGGTGATCTTAAGACCTTCAGTTTTTTCTTCACCTGTGCATTTTTCCTGCTCAGGTATGCAAAGTAGCACAAGCATCAGTCAGAGGAGCAGCGCCCTGGGCCAGAGCAGGTCAATGAGAAGACACTGGAGGAGCTGTCCCCATCAAGGGCTGCCATCTCTCTTTGGGGGTGTCCATGCAGCTGCTGCTGCTCACAGATCTGCATGCATGCATCTGACTGCTAGCATTTATCTGAGTTTGTCTTGTTTACAAAAGGAAGCAAGGGTCATTTAATTTCAGGTCTTCAGCTGTGTCTCCTAAATATACTTAAATCTTCACACTGAGTTTAAATGCAATGGGAAGTTTTATTACGGCAAATAAATGCCAAATGATTTCTATATTAGGAACATAATTACAGACAAATTAAGTACAATGGCAAAGAGAAGCCCATTGTTACACAGCTGGTAAACTTCAATAAACATGCACTAATGACCACCCTGTCTTCACATACTTACAAGAGTTGCCCTTCTATCCTTTTGAACTAAACATGTTATTACCAGCATCTCAAATGCTTCCCCATGTACACAAGCACTGTCCCAGCCAGCAACAGGCAACAGGAGAGATGGAATAGGTATCTATGTGTACCTGTGTGTATATATATGTATTACATTGCATGAAATTCTCCAGCACTGGGGGAAACTGACACAGAATGTGGACCCAGAGAGGAGTGGACCCAGATCTCTGGTGGCATCAGGACAGCACAGGGCATGGTTATGAAGGGGGCTCTGGTGAGATAACATTTCCTCAAGCACCTCAGCAGAGCTGGGTGCTGATCCCAATCTCCATCTTGGCAGAAGTCTGCTGACTTTTCTTGACCCAGCTGGGGGAATACCCTAACTGGGCACCACCTTAAAATCTGGAGAGCCTATAGGAAAATCTATGCAAGTGATTAGAAAAAGAAAACATCCAGACTGCCAGCAGTTGTGCCAACTCTGTGACCAGAATTGGCTCATCCCACAGCTCCCCTGCAAGACCTGATATCTCTATGCCATGCAGAGACAGCACTGCCCATGGCAGGCAAGATCTG